CACGAACGTAAACTTCAACCCTTACTCAGCGTTTGGACGCTAAACATTTAGACATAGACAATCACGAGGCTGTATCGAGCATCTGCGCACAGGTACATCACTGTTCAGCTTGCTCCCTAAACACGCGCGATTGGAGTTAGAATCGGCATAAGTGCGTGCATGCGACATATGTGCCTCTGTGTACTCAGAACACTTAAATTCATCGGTTGGATACAGCACATTGCTTTTGTCTAATTGTGTTCGTTGAAAGCCACGACTAGCCGCAGCTAGCTGTGGCTAGCTACAGCTAGCTAGTCAACTAGCTATATCCGTCTACTTCTGTTTTGGCGCTTTTCGCGTGCAAACCGTCCTCAGGCGCACCAGCGAAGGAACTGCACAGGAGATGCAACAGCTTTCCGCATTCCTTCTTGCCTTCACTTGATTGATCACCCGCTTCTTCTTCAAGTTGCAACCTTTTCAGCTGATTAAGACAAGAAACACAAAGATGAAATGACCTTACGTATCTCGCGTGGAAGTAGTATTCCTCATTGAGTGTAAAGGAACAGTGAAGCACACATGTTGCGTAAGCGGCGCCTGACGCAAGCTTGTACGTCTCAGTCTGAATCACCACCAGGCTGCTTGCCTTTCTCTTGCCGCCACTTTCAGGGAACTTACCGAAGCAAAGATGCGTTCGCGGAGGTCCATATCGAGGGAACATTTCAGTGCTTTCCACTTGACGAGAGAAGCCGTCAGCTGGACAGCTCCAGTGCAAAGTGAGAGGACAAACGAGAGCGCCACCGCCAATCCAACGAAAAACCGAGAGCCTCTGCCTCCCTCCAGCAGATATATTAGCGTAAGCAGCGCCCACGCAGCCAAAAACATACAGCTAAGAATCAGCAGATGTAGTCGAGGGCCGTACGCGCATCTGCAGAGCCACGATAAACGCAAAAAATCATCTGACTCATTCACCGCCTACTTCAACGCTCGTGAACCCTCCTGATACAATAACCCTTTCCCACATTGAGTCGCAGACTACCCGGAATATCGTTCTCGTTTGAAAAGAAAAAGCAGTCGGCGATTACCCGCTGATGGCTCGGCTGATTGTCTCGAAGACTTCAGTTGAGCGACTGGTTGCCGGATCTGAACTGCGACAGGGCGAGAGGGAAACGCTGTAGTGGTGAAGGGGTCCGGAGAAATCTCCTTCACAGACGCCCCTGCTGCTCTCCTGGTCGTCTGCTTCGTTCTCAGCATCATGAGCAGGGACTGTGCTGCCCTCATGCCACGCGTCTGCCTCGACAGTGGCGGTATCTTCAGACGAGTTGCGAGCTTCCACTTGAAGAGGCTCCTTCACTCGTGCCCACGGTGTCTTGTGCTCTGCAGCAGCTTTTACTTCGGCGGCTGCAGCAGCAGCAGCCCCTGCTGCTGCTGCAGGCGGTTGTGCTCGGTTTGCTGGCAACATCCCTGTACAGGGCAGCTTTTCGCCTTGACTCTGCCCGAACGAGCAGTTCTCCACCTCGCTAAAGAATACCTGAGCTGTGCTATTCCGGACACACGTGGTCTCTGGAGCTTCTGCCCATTCTTCAGTTGCCCGTTCCCCTGTACGTGATGACGCATCAGGGGCCACGGGGCCTTCCTCTTTAACAGTTCTCTGACGCTTGCGAGAAGCCTGCAGAAACAGGTACAGCATATGCGGGAATGATGCTGCTGGTGTGCACGTGCTCATGAAGAAGTTGCAGAGCAGTACTGTACACCATAAGAAATGTTTAAGGCAAACTGGCACGCCGTTAGCAGATCAGTAATGACGGCGCAGGTGAGGGTATAATCATGGCATTATAGCCAGAATAAGACAACATCAAAGCACTACGAACCGAGGTGCATCCGAAGCAACGGAGTATTGCTCTAAAAGTAATATCGCATGAATCCACCAGGACAAATGCGGCTGCCAAAAGGCTGGGGTGCATGTAGGCAAGCACATAAACATCAACAAGCTCAGTAGCTAGCTACCCAACGAACTGTCCACGTCGCTAGCTAGCATGCGAGCAAGTGACCCTTACCGATTTCCGGCAATGAAAAGTAAGTGCGAAAGACCTTCGTGAGGCTCCACCCTCGGTTGGTGCGTCTTCGCTTGCGATTGACTGAACGGATCTCAGTCGGGTATCTAGGGTAGCAGCAGCAAGTTGTAGTTCACTAGTAACATAGCGGCCTGCTGCAGCTTCGTTTGCAACGGACCTTGACAGCTCGCAGTTGCCTATGGAAACCAGCCGGGTGCTGCTGTAGCTGCTCATTCGTGTCGAGTCCAGCATATGTTTGCCTGCTTGTTCTCTGCGCGTTGTGCTTGGAGGATCTTCAGGAAAGAGGCTCAAAGATACTTCTCGCTCTTCTTCACAAGGTCTATATGCGTCTGTGTGCGTGTCTTTTTGCACTTCTTCTTCTTCTTCGAACTCCACCGTTTGGCCCTGGTCCTCCTCAGCTCGTTGCGTCGTATCTTCTTGAGTATCTGAATCCACCGATCTGGCCCCTGTGGAAGCTGGCTGTTTAGCACTTCTAGGAAGAACATCAGGTGTGGAGTACCGCAATTCCCACCCCGTTGTATCTCCTACATGGAGCAAGCGCGCCGTCCCCGGGTTTCCGTAACGTCGCACACCGGCTGGATCTGCTGCTGCTCCTCCTGCTGTTAACGAGGAGTTCTTTGTTCCCGTTCCCGCGACACTGGAAGCAGCATCCGAGTTTTTCTCNCTCCTGCTGTTAACGAGGAGTTCTTTGTTCCCGTTCCCGCGACACTGGAAGCAGCATCCGAGTTTTTCTCTGCCTCAGCTGCTCCAGGACTGCCCCCACTTTCCGCATCGCTGTCTTCAGAGTGCAGGGATGTGGCGCTCAAGAAATCGACCATTTTTAGTCCGTGAGCAGCCATCTCTGCATTGTAGAGGTCGTGCAGGTCCCCCCCGTCATCTGTCTGACTGCTTGCCTTGCTTTGACTGTCGTTTGCAGCTTGAGAGGAGCGCATAGTACGCCCCCACACAGCATCGAATGCTCCCGGAACATCCTCGCTATTGTCACACTCTTCGGGACGCAGCTCAGGCGAACTGTCTGGTTGTGCTGCAGCTCCTGCTTCATCTGACAGTTTGACGCTCTCCTGCTCGCTAGGGCGAGGGCTGCTTGGGTCAGCATCAGGCAGTTTACCTCTTGTGCTTTCTCCGTCCCCTTCTTCTTCATCGCTGGCTAAGAAGTGCCACTGTGATGCTTCTGGCGCTTGTGGCTCTTGGACTTGATCCTGCTGCTCTGGATAGATGCGAATGTTCTCTTCGAAC